AGACAGCTGTCCTTTTGAAGGTTGGTCCTGCCTTTCATAGTGCTGCACAGATCTGAATGAATCATCATTCAGAGGCAGCCACAGAGAACAAGAATAGAGATGGTAACATATGGTGAATGGGTTTTCTTGTTTTATTAAGTGGTCTGTCAGGTTTCAGGTGACCAGAAATCTATAAGTGAACGAAATTTTGTAAAACATCATCACTGTCTGCCAATGTGATTTCTGTCGAACAGCAATATGGTTGATTCTTCTTTACTAAATTAGGGATGGTCAACAAATTGCAGTCTAACAAGTGACATCCAAACCCATACCCCAGAGCTGCAATTTCAACAAAACTCAGTATCGTGTAGCTCTAGCACAGTGTTAAGAAATGCCACCTTTTCTTTTGGTGGGGGTACTCTGGCAAGTACTTTTGAGAGACTGAATTCCCTGTATGCCCTGGGAGTCCCTATGTTTGTATGTTAGTATCACGGGCTGCACATGCTCCATTCAAGTTGTTATTTATGGCTGAAGGACCTGGCCATTTTGTGTTAAGAAGTTGCCTTGTGGAGACTGGCATGGGTCCCAGTTAGTTGATCAGTTTGCTATCTTTGGCCTATTGGTCAATCAGAGATGTAGAAGTTGGGAAGAGGATCCAGGCAGTAAAGATGCTCATGTTAGCAATCTCCAGGCACCCCAGCCTGTGAGACATCTTCAGGATCTGAGAAGGTGATGGGCAATTACTGTCTCCATGTTGGAGAAGGTTGGGGGTCAAAAGAAGTCCTGGGGACCATTGATTGTTCAGAGCACTTGCAAGGAAGATGAAGAAAGTTCTCAAACAGCACTTACTTGGTGCAGCTGAGAACTATTGGAGATTAGAAACACAGGGGCAGTGTCTACTTAATAAGGTTAGCTGTCTGCAAGAGAGCTGGAACTGTACGCATCTGTCAGTGCTGGAGTGCATCCTTGAAAATCCCATGCAACACAATCTTGAGGGATGAGATTGAAATACCAGAATGTGAGCAGTCTTTGAGACAGTCTATGATGGAGCTGCTTCTAAGGTTAGATCTTTAAAAGTGAAGAACTGGAATCCTAGTCAAGGAGGAAAACCTTGAATGAGATTTGGTGACTGAAAATGTAACTGTGCCTGGGTAAGCTGCTGAGAAATCTGTGGGAATTGTCTTGACCGCATCTATTATTTGATATGCTCTGTGAAGTATTTGAGTATTTGACCACAATTTTTGTTAGCCCGTATTTACCTGATATTCATTCTGAATGTTAGAGTATAAGTTGCAGATACTTTTAGGATTGTTTTGTTTATCTAACCTTGTATGGTTTATTTTTAGAGATAGTAGGAACTACAGATGCTGGAGAATCTGAGATAACGAGGTGTAGAGCTGGATGAACACAGCAGGCCAAGCAGCATCAGAGGAGCAGGAAAGCTGACGTTTCAGGCCTAGA